GCCCCAGTTGCAGCGCCCGCATGGTGGCCCCGTCTCATTTCGGCGCACACGTCACACGTTTAGTGGCCCCACAAGGAGATCCCCCGAAGGTGATACTCATAATGACGGGACTCACAACTGCATATGGTTGGGTCTTTCGCCTGGATCATTATATGTTTCCACGACGCTCGATTTTGAAATTATTACGAAGCCTATGGTTTTTGAGAGATTTCGACATGCGCGCGACGACGCGCGCGTGTTCACTTCGTCCCGTTTTTTGCAAGGGGCTTTCGAAAAAGGAAGATTTTTGATAAATTAATGTGCGCGCGAATTCTTCTTGCCAAGGATGGGTGGGGTACCGATACCGGCCTGGCTGATAGTATGAGGATGAGGATGGGGATGAGGATGGGGATGAGGATGGTATGAATTCATATGTGGGATGGACGATGGGGCAGAATCGTATGTAAGTTGCAATAAGAAAAGAGGGGGCGTTAATTCCTGGGAGGTAGCTTCTGATACCCTCTAAGCAAGGAGAATCCAACGGCGGCGACGAGGCGGCGACGGCGACAACATAGCCGCCAGACCGCCACACCGGCCCACACGACGGGCGGCGATGAGGGGGTGACGAGGCGGCGACGGGGCGGCGACGGCGACAACATAGCCGCCTGACCGCCACACCGGCCCAGACGACGGGCGGCGACGAGGTGGCGACGGCGACAACATAGCCGCTAGATCGCCACACCGGCCCAGATGACGGGCGGCGATGAGGCGGTGACGAGGCGGCGACGGCGACAACATAGCCGCCTGACCACCACACTTTCCCAGATCCTCAGAAAAGAAATAAGAACCCTTAAGTGCAAGCATTGTTTGGGTAATAAGTTCTCCCTGTCGCATCCCCAGGCATGTCCGTGGGCGGGTCGTGCGCTTTGCTGAAGAATTCCTCATCGCTTACGATACTGAGTATTGAAATCTACAGCAGCTTCAAGGATGGAGTGCGGGTCGTTTTTGATATGTGGTTTTCGCCTTAGCACGGCGCACACTCGTTTTAAACATTTGTAGCAACTTCAAGGATGGAGGTCGTTGTTGTTCAACATGTGGCGCTTGCATTTAGCGCATCGCGCATTCTTGTCCAAAGTTCACAACAGTTTCAAGGGTTTGTAGAAATTAATTCCCAAGTACGGCGTTCTGGCACGATGCTGATTTATCAGCACGCAGCAGTCACGTTGATTCGCAGTGTTGAACTCCTAGAACAGGCGTTCTAGCACCATTTTCAAAATGGCACTTCCCGCAATGAGGATTCATGTTTTTAGAGACACGAAGAGGAAACTTTCATGGAGCATTTTTGATTCGTCTCGGGCTTTCACCAGTCCTCTTCCTCTTGCTGCCGCGCACTGCTGAATGAATGTCACCGAGGTTTCCGCACACGTGAATGGCACCGTCATGTTGGGCCAGGAAGTCAAAGGAGGGGTCCAGCGGCACACAGATCGAGTCCTCCGAAGGTCCCAGTGACAGAGTTTGCATGCGTCTCCCCCGCCCAGTACAGCGCTTCGTGGCCCCGTATGGGAGCTCCACTGAAGATACCAGTGGTGGAGCTCTCATGTGTCTCACTCACCCAGTACAGCGCTTCGTGGCCCAGAAGGTCCCAGTGGCGGAGCCCTTATGCGTCCCCCCACCCAGTACAGCGCTTCGTGGTCCCATGGGGAGCTCCACCGCAGGTCCCAGTGGCGCAGCCTGCATGCGTCCCCCCCGCCCAGTACAGCGCTTCGTGGCCACGGCCCGCACGTCACGTTTCGTGACCACATGAAGGGGGGCTCGACCTAAGGCCCCAGTCAACTCCACACACGTTTCGTGGCTTCATAAGCGGGTCAACCTAAAGCCCCAGTTGCAGCGCCCGCATGGTGGCCCCGTCTCGTGTCGGCGCACGCGTCACACGCTTAGTGGCCCCACAAGGAGATCCCCCGAAGGTGATACTCATAATGACGGGACTCACAACTGCATATGGTTGGGTCTTTCGCCCGGATCATTCTATGTTTCCAGGACACTCGATTTTGAAATCATTATGAAAGTTAGGGCTGTTGAAGGATTTCCCAAAGGAAACCTAGGGATTTTGAAATCATTACGAAACCTAGGGCTTTTGAAATCATGACGAAACCTGGGCCTGGAACTCAAAGGAGGGGTCCAGCGGCACACAGGTCGAGTCCTTCTTTGTCGCGTTAGCCAAACATGAGCATCGTGGCTGTTGCGTTCTGTCCACTCCTCCTCCTCCTCCTCCTCCTCCTCCTCCTCCTCCTCCTCGAGAACGGGGGATTGTGGCGGATCTCGCCTTTCGGATGGTGTTCTCGTGTGGTTTTCCTGAGGTTATCGCATCATTCCTCCTCTTCCTACTCCTCCTCCTCCTCCTCCTCCTCCTCCTCCTCCTCCTCCTTCTCTTTCCTCTTCTTCCTACTCATCCTCGAACAGCTCTTCGTCGCCCTCTTCCCCCTCCCAGAAGGAGAACTGGCTTTTTTGTTATTCCTTATCCTCCTGCTACTTGTTTCTCCCTGCCCCCCCAAAAGAAACATGTCTTTTTCCCGGAAAGGGCTTGAGCCCAGGGTTCTCTTTTAGTAGGTAAACCTGTCCCCCGGTGCCTGCTTGAAGGAGGCCGGCGAATTTTTTCCCTGATAAATAACGAGCCGGCGAATTGCCGGCGAATTTTTTCCCTGGTAAATAACGAGCCGGCGAATTGCCGGCGAATTTTTTCCATGATAAATAACGAGCCGGCGAATTAAAATTTGAGGATGTCTCGAGCGGAACGCTTGTTTTTCAGAAAATGGTGAGGATGTCTCGAGCGAAACGCTTGTTTTGTGTTATAGAATTCTGAGGACCACCTCCCAGCACGACCACTCCCCCAGCACGACCACCCCCCAGCACGACCCCACCCCAGCACGACCCCACCCCAGCACGACCATACCCCAGCACGACCACACCCCAGCACGACCCGACCCCAGCACGACCCTACCCCAGCAAGACCACACCCCAGCACGACCACACCCCAGCACGACCACACCCCAGCACGACCCCACCCCAGCACGACCACGCCCCAGCACGACCACGCCCCAGCACGACCACGCCCCAGCACGACCACCCCCAGCACGACCACACCCCCAGCACGACCACCCCCCAGCACGACCACGCCCCAGCACGACCACACCCCAGCACGACCACTCCCCAGCACGACCACACCCCAGCACGACCACACCCCAGCACGACCACACCCCAGCACGACCACACCCCAGCACGACCCCACCCCAGCACGACCCCACCCCAGCACGACCCCACCCTAGCAAGACCACACCCCAGCACGACCACACCCCAGCACGACCTCACCACAGCACGACCACACCCCAGCACGACCACGCCCCAGCACGACCACGCCCCAGCACGACCACGCCCCAGCACAACCACCCCCCAGCACGACCACCCCCCCAGCACGACCACACCCCAGCACGACCACCCCCCAGCACGACCACACCCCAGCACGACCACTCCCCAGCACGACCACACCGCCTTGGTTGAGTGGTTGCCTGTCGTCGTGGAATGTTTCGTGGGGTGTCTCGTGGAATGTTTCGCGGGGTGTCTCCTGGAATGTTTCGTGAGGTGTCTCGCGGAATGTTTCGTGAGGTGTCTCGTGGGATGTTTCGTGAGGTGTCTCGTGGGATGTTTCGTGAGGTGTTGCCCCGTTGGGTATCGTGAAAACGTGCCCATGCTCCACATGTCTATATCCCTTTCCGGGTTCGTGGGTCCATCATGTTTTTGTTGCCCCTTTTTTTGTTGGAGGGAGGGAGGGGGAGAAACATCCTTTTGTGGTGTTTTCCAATGAAGTCCTTTTGTGCGGATTTCCAATAGAATCCCTTCGGGGGGTGTTCCAATGGATTCCTGTTGAGAGGCGTTCCAATCTAGTTTCCTTGGTGGCGCTTTCCACCGGATTCCTGTTGTGAAGATTTCTAATAGAATCCCTTCTGTGGTGTTTCCACAGGGTTCCCACTATGACGGTTTCCAATCGAATGCCTTCGTGGTGCGTCCCAGTGGATTCCGATTGTTTTGTGTGTTTTCCTCTGTCCCCCCAAACAAATAGGACAAATAGGGGGGGGGAAGGGGGAGGAGGGGGAAGACACAATCCTTCGTGGTGTTTCCCAATGAAGTCCCTGTGTGCGGGTTTCCAGTAGAATCTGTATGGGGTGTTTTCCAATGGATTCCTGTTGAGAGGTGTTCAAATAAAATTCACTTTGTGGCGCTTTCCAAAGGGTTCCTGCTGTGAAGATTTCCTATACAATCCCCTTTGTGGTGTTTCCAACGGGTTCCCAGTGTGACGGTTTCCAATCGAATGTTGTTGGGGTGTTTTCCAGTTGGTTCCTGTTGTGATGTTGTCCCATCGAATCTCCTCGAGGTGCTTCCCAAAGGATTCCGATTGTGAGGCTTTCCCATCGGACCTCTTTGTTGTGTGTTTCCAACGGATTCCTTTTTGTGATGCTTCCCTGTGGGATCTCTTTTGGTGCTTTCCAACGGATTCATGTTGTGATGTTGTACAATCAAAACCCTCCTGCTGCGCCTCCCCAAGGATCCCCACTGTGAGGATTTCCCTGATCCGGTTGTGGTGCTTTCCAAAGGATCCTTGTTGCGAGGTGTTCCCATTAAATCTCTGTGTGGTGCTTTCCCGAGGAGTCCTGTCGTGAGGCTTTCAAATAGAATCCCTCTGCGGCGCTATCCTAGATATTCGTGTTGTGAGGAGGGGGGTCAAGGGGGAGGAGGGGGGAGACACAATCCGTCGTGGTGCTTCCCAATGAAGTGTTTGCGTGCGGGTTTCCAATCGAACCCTCTGGGGGTAAACAAACAGTCAAAACAGTGAGGTCCGCCACAATCCCCCGGCCTCTCCTCCCACTCCTCCTCCCTGTCCTCCTCCTCCTCCGCCACCACGACCAGCACGCCAGCATCGCCACCCGCACCACCACCCAGCCCCGCCTTTTCGGCGCATCCCTGGCGAGCGGACGGAGGCACCGCGCCGTTGCGGAACCCCGCGGGCGAGGCCCCGCGCCGCCGCGGACGTCGGCCGCGCCGCGCCTGCCGCGGCCGTGCTCGCCGCGGCGGTGGCCGCGCGGCCGCGCAGGGTACCCGGGGCGGGCGCGCAGCGGCACGCCCGCCGCGCCGAGAGGGCGCTGCGGCGGGCGCAGGCGGACGTTGGCGACGACGGCGGCGACGATGACGGCGGCGACGGCAGCGGAAGCAGGGACGGCGGCGGAGGACGGCAACGACGGCGGCCACGGCGGCGGCGCTGACAAGGACGGCGGCGACGACAAGGACGGCAACGGCGGCGGCGGCGGCGGCGGCGACGGCGGCGATGGCGACGGTGGCGACGACGACCGTAGCGAGAACGGGCGGCGGCAGCGGCAGTTCGACGGCTGACCACAACGGCGGGCGCAGACGTCGGCCGACTCTAAGTCCAGGTGGGGTACACCTTGAGATCTGGGCGTTTTGCATTCTTGACTCGTAGAGCTTCCCCATAAGCAGAGCGGCTAAGCTCTAGGGTAATTCCACAGCGCCAGCGGGCTAGCTGGCTCGAAAGATCTCGACGGAAGTTTTGGTGAAGAGGCTCGGTTGAAAATTATGTTCTCGAAATTCAACCATTCGTTTGAAACCTCGCATTTTTGCCCAGCTCTATGATCTTATTCCCGCTCGCCATCTTGATATCATGTTAATCGGGTGGATATCACTAGAAACAACATTGTGGGGGGATTTGCTGCTTTTGGCTATTTGTTGGGCTCCTGATGGTTTTTGGGATATAGCTCGAATTACAGGCCACTATCAGTTGCAAAATGCACACCATTCGGCAACAAATGATCAGGAGTTCTAGTCTCAAGTATCGAGATACCTGAAATCTGTCTGTTACGCGGGCTGCGACGGAAACACGATTCGCACATTTGGGTCCTTATGATTGTTTTTGGGAGATAGCTCGAGCTACAGGCCACTATCAGAGGCGAAGTGCACACCATTCGACAGGAAATGATCAGGAGTTCCAGTCTCGAGTATCGAGATGCCTGAAGTACGTCTGCTTCGAGAGCTGTGCCCGAACAAATATTTATCCAGAGGCGATATAGGTTTTCTCTATCTATATCGAGCTGTAGGCACGCTGCGGAGCTGAATTGCGCACCGGCCGACGGGAAATTATCAGGAACTTTAGTTTGAAGTATGAAAGACGCCTGAAATCAGTCTGTCACCAGAGCTGCGACCGAACCCACTACTCGCACTCTGCAACTTGTTCGGACGACAATATAGGTTTTCTTTTTTTAACTCGAGCTATCTCTGAGCTACGGTGCTGAGATGCACACCTCCCGACAGGAAATGATCAGGAGCGTTAGTCTACAGGATCGACACGTCTGAGATCGGTCCGCCACCAGAGCTGCGATTGAAACATTACTCGCGATGTATTTTTTTAGAGGCGATGTTTGTTTCTTCTAGTTAGGTCGAGCTGTAGGCGAGCTACGGAGCTGAAAGTCACACCAATCGACAGGAACTAGTCAGAAACGTTAGTCTAAAGTATCTAGACGCTTCAGATCGGTATGTTACCAGAGCTGCAACCGAAAAGCTCTTTGTATTTGCGAACGACAAACTAGTTGTATTCTGTAAGCAACAACCAAGCTGACAAACGCATCATTCGATATGAGATGATCATGCTTTACACGTGGCGAAAACTTTTTAAGATTGACATATATTTTGCAAACACTGTTCCACTTGAGTCGTGTACTTTGTTCGTGCGTGGTTGTCTCAACTGAACTCGAGCTGTGGGCAAGCTGAGGAGCTGTCAGGCCGTTTCCATGAAACGGCACATCTTCGCGCGTGCTGAGTGCGAGATTGCCACGCTCGCGCGCCATTCATATATTTATATATGTATACATGGCAAGGAAGCTCTGCGAGTCCCCGGCGGTAACCAAGGTTGACGGTTTACCGCCGGCTTCCAGTTCCTCGCCACGGGGATTGTGCGTTGTTTCGCATAGGAGGGCACAGACGGTGGGACGTGTGGAGGGGGCGTCGTTCGACGCTTGAAGGAAGCCCAAGTGAGCAGCGGAAGAGGAAGAAGACGGGGTAATCTTCACCAACGTTGGCGCGCAAGCTGCCGGCGTCGGGTCGCGCGTAAGCGCCCTCATTTCCAGTGTGGCAAACCGCGCTGGCGGCCTTAGTAGGCCACTGCGTAAGGTCGCTATGCCATCTCGCGTAAGATCCTTTACTGTTTTGTCGCTCAGTTGGAGCCAAGGTCCGCAGACGATTTGTGTGCACCATACGATGCATGTTTGTATATATATATATATACATATACAACAGTGATGAGCAACTATGCATTATACTGCGGCGGAGATGGGCTTAAAGGGAGTCCATGTATTGTACGGCGCAGAGCGCTGTTATTGCACAAGGGGCTCCATCTGATAGGTTTCCTTTGAGATCTAGACATCGGATTTGTCCCCAACCATCCTGTGATGCTGGGTCCTGGTT